GAGCTGATCTCTTTGCATAAACAAACATGCCCACGAAGTTCTGACCAATCACAATGCTCGTTGCATAGTGCTATGAGAACTAGTTCAATGCACAGGATGAGGTCTCAGCAGGCAGGCAGGATGCTGCATCTGAATTGCCGAACTGTCGTGGTTTCATGACGAAATTTGCGTCGTTTTGTTTGCATTGTTGACATTTTTGGCACTTCTTGTAGCAACCCGCGGGTCGAACCTTTTTACCCCCTCCACATTTAACACAAGAACTTTATTGTGTGATTGTTCAGAAGTTTGTGAGAGTGTTTTGTTTGTGCTGAAAGCGCTCAGATGCTGCAGTTTGCTTCAACCACTTGCTTCAAAAAAAAAACTTAAAAAAAGGTACTCACTTCCAGAGCTATCTGTTGTACCAGGAAGCAGCAGTTTAAGAGAGTCAAATGGCCAAAAACTCATAAAAGGGGATAAAACAGACATTTTGCATGGTGGAGCTCGGCATGGAGTGTCTCATCAGGGAAAGGCGTATACGAAAACGAACGCCTAACAACAGCGTGACAGCGCGTCGTCTGGTCGGCTGCTGAACGACTATACCAGAGGTGCCCAAAGTGGGGCCCGCGGGCCAAAATTGGCCCACCAAGCCATTTGATTTGGCCCACCAGCAGTTGTCCTGGTTATTAGATTGTAACATTATGTCTTATGTAGAAACACTTGTCTTTTCAACCATTGGTCCAACTATATGTACAACGAGCTGTAGTCAGATAGTCTTAACTCATGGTACTCACTTTATCTTTGAATTATGCTAAGATTAAATATAAAATACAAGTAACTACAAGAAACATGTAGATTATATTTAAACCCATATCTAGATTTGCACACTATAAGACCCCCATATACTCAAATTTGAAATTATGAGAAGTCCCATGAGCCTTTGCTGCCTGAGCATATGTTGAATTTTCTCCATGTATATTGGCTAAAAAAGTTTAAAAAGAAAGTAAAAAAAGGTGTGGGCAACCGCATTGGCTGCTAGCTTAATCATAAAAAATGAAACAACTTTACTTAAGCAACATTTGGATTTCTTATATTATTGCATTTGGCCCACGGTCCTCAAATTGATTTTAATTTGGGCCCGCTCAGGTAAACTGTTTGGGCACCCCTGGACTATACTGACTAAGCAGTTTTTGTCATGCACCTGCATAAGCGAGAGGTGAGAATTGGCTTCTTGACTATAAAGCACCCAATGTGCTCCATCCGAGTTGGCGAAATCAAATCGAACTATCAATGTTTAATGATGAAAATTGCGTCATTTTGTTTGTAATATTGACTCTTCAACACATTTTTGTCACAACCCACCAGTTGAGTTTTTCACCCCCCTCCACTTAAGAACTTACTGTGTGATTGGTCAAAAGTTTGTGGGAGTGTTTGTTTATAATTAAAGCACTCAAATGTTGTGTTTAGGGATGCACCGATATGAAAATTTCAGCCAGTATCGATATCCGATATTATTATTGGTGTTATGGCCGATAACCGATATTTACCGATATTACACAAACACACAAATTATTATGACCCCCGCACGCGAAGCGTAAGCGGGAGTCATATTGTTTTCATACTGTTTTTTTTTTTCAGTGATTTTTTTTTTGGTCCACCGTAGCACAAAAACGGCTGCACCAGTCAACATGAAATTTGGCAGGACTGTAGATGAGTCTGACCTATGCTGCGCCAGCCAACGGTTTTTTGGTAGACCCCATATTTGAGGAGGGGGCTCCTTTCAAAAAAAGGGGATGTCAGGACATGCAAAAATTCTTATAACTCAGAAACTGTTCAACATAGGAGCTTCAAATTTCTTTTGTTGTTTAGCTCTGATGAAGCTCTATCCATCAGATAGGGGGGCACAGGGGGCGGCTGTGGCGGAGTGGTTAGGTGAGTCGTCCTGGAACCAGAAGGTCGCTGGTTCGATCCCCTGTCCAGCCGTCTCAGTCGTTGTGTCCTTGGGCAAGACACTTCACCCACCTTGCCTACTGATGGTGGTCAGAGGGCCCGGTGGCGCCGATGTATGGCAGCCCCACCTCTGTCAGTG